TCTGATACTTAGCCAGGGGGACATGGGCAGAGTACCCACTCATGTGAGTTCATTGCCTGTCCCCACTTCCTGGGGACTCTGATCTTGCCACTTGCCTTCCCTACACTCCCACCTCGACAGCCAACCCTGAATCGGGGTTCTGATAATCACATCACCCTCTGGGCCATAGTTGGCAACTTAGAGTAGTGACTGGGAAGGAGAACAGGGAAAGGCCAGAGCTTGCTAGGATTTGCATTGGAAAGGGCAAAGGAGACCCCAGGAGGGGAGGAAGAACAGGAGCAAGAGAAAGGGCGAGAGGGGGCAGCAAGTAAAGAGGGTGTCCAGGCTGGGTCAGTTCATGGTTCTGCAAGTTCCTCCCCCTCTGTGGGGGGATTTGGCTGCCCTGTCCTCCAGAGGACATCTGAGGCCACAGGTGGATATAGCCTGGGAGTCCATTTGCTGTGTCCTCTCCCTCACTCTCCTACCCTCTGCCCGAGTGTACCCTCATCTGGCGTTTGCTGAGTGCCCATGTGTGCCAGGCATGTGCCAGGCATGTGCCGGCTGCTGGGGCTCACAGTCCTGCTGCAGCCTGGCCTGAGCATCAGGCAGGGTCTGGGCAGGCTGGGCTGGGCCTGGAATGCTGCTGATGGCATCGCTTCCCAGAACTTGCCGTCTTCACCTTCACTGCTTGCTGGGTCCTGTTCTCCAGTTTGTCTGAACACATTGCATTTCCTCTAAGATCATGGCCCCTGGCCCCAGCCCCACCCCCACCGGCAATGCTACTGTGGCCACCATGCCATGACAATTTTCATGGGTCTCCAGACCCTTGGAGGAATGCAATGGGCATCTTCGCTGGCCGCAGAGATGAGCAGGTAACCGGTCGCTGCCCCTCTGTCCTGCCCAGGATCACCATCTCATTCTCAGTCGACAAGGGGGTGGGGGACCAGGGATCAGTGACTCTGGCAGCTGGGACATGCCACTGAGCACACAGCTGGGCCCCCACTGGGACATGCTCAGCAGGGGCATCTGGGACCCACTTAGCTCCAGTCACACCTACTACACTCAGGTGCTACTGCAGGCACTGGATACTCAGTAGAGTAGGACTGAGGATCTGAGTGGATTGAGTAAAAAGATCATCCAGATCTTTGCCTCAGTTTCTCCTACTCCCCCCCAAATATGAAGCTTTTCCCATCCTCATGATGTGGCATCATCGGGATCAGAATCCCATGGGATCCCTTCAAGGGATGAGGTTCCTTCTCTCCATCTCTCTCTCTTGCCAAGTGGGAGCTTGGCTCTTGTCCTGCCTCCTGCCCTCTTCGTTGATTCTAGGTGTAGACTATAACCATTTGGAGAACAGACACTGGGCCTTGTCATCTGTGTATACCCCACAGTAACCCCTACCACAGTGCACTTAGTATAGAGTGTACACAGTAGGTGTCTAATAGATGCCTGGCAAATGGCACCGTGGGAACATGAGGTGGACCAACAGCCACATATAGGTGTGAACTGGACAGGCCTGTGGTGAGATCCATAGCAGGCAAGACAGACTCTGCTTCTGTGGGAAGGTGCACTCTCAACACTGGGCTCTCCATGTAGGATGTGAGAGGTTTCCAGAAGCCGTACCCATCCCTCCAGCGCCCTCTCCATTCCGTGTTGCCCCAGGGGTTCCACAGGCGGATCAATTCTTCCCAGCCCCTTCTGTACTGAATCTGCAAAGAACAGAAAGGGAGACTGCCAGTGCTCTCCAGCGAAAGTCAGCAGAAAGAGGCACCGTGAACACAGCTACGTTTTACCTCCAAGGACTAATTTAACTTCTGACCTCATTTGGCTGCAGCCAGAAACAAATT